TTTCAAACGTCCATCTTCCGATCATGTGATCTTTCCGCGAAAGGTTATAAACTTCACAATGTTTCTCTAACAGGCACAGTCTTTCACAAGCACTGTCCGTTCAAACTATACTATAGTAATGCACAATCAATAAATCATCACGCGCGGTTCCATAAATCCAAATACGTATTCTATAAATCCAAACTTCATGTCGACAAGATCTTTCGCAAGCATCTTGCCACATTTATAAAGCGTCGAGAACCTAAAAATACAAAATATCAAAACTTAACCTAATCGCTCTTAACCGAATTCCATTTCCAACTTCAACTCCAACTCCAACTCAAAAACTAAGGCCTGGTTCAAACGTCGCGCTTCTCATGTGCCGAACCTAACTCGAGAATTAAGTACATCAGGGGCGCGATGTTTGAATCAATTTGGTACGGCAAATTTAGTTAGGAGCGGCAGACTAGTTTGGATCGGCAGAGCTTGCCGAGCTGCACGGCTCCAGCACGGCACGGTTTCAAACGTCGAACTTGTCATGTACCGAACTCAATGCAAAATTATATTTAATTTATTTTCCTTCACAGAATTCATTTCTTTCTTCGAGGGCGCATGCGTTTCAAACAAATATTTGAGATTGTGCGCCTTAACCAAGATACTTTATGTAACAATCCTAAAACCCATTTGGCGCGACATGATTAAGTTCGACGTTTGAAACGGGAGTCGCGCTTAACATGCTCAAGTGTCGCTCCAAACAGAGTTAGGTTCGGCACATGAGAAGTGCGACGTTTGAACCAGGCCTAACTCTATATGTAACACGCCCAAAATATAACTAAACAAGAACTTATTGTAATGCTACATAGCTACGTAAATTTACATAATAATAATGAATACAAAATATATCAGTCCCAAGATTAATTACATAAACTGAATAATGATACTAAAAATCCCAAAAGAAATAGTTAATGAATCTAAAGGTGCAATTAGAAAACAAAAGGAATTATAAACAATCGAATGTGTGAACGGTGATAAAATTACTAAGGTTACAGGATGCAAAACAAACGAAATCCAAACTAGCACTATTACAGAATACTAAGTTATAACATTGCATACCATGAACAATTGTTCATAAAATCCAAAAGTTTTACACATCGAACAAAAGACTGCACATCATTGTAAGGGGGAAAAGAAACTGATTTTATTTCTGACTTTGTGTGAAAAACGAAAACTCGGGTAGCTCGGGAATATGTAAATGTACGATTAAACGAAAGCAACGCCTTGAAATGTGAAATACTCTTATTGGCCATGCAAACCTGACGTGGTTGTTTTAGCATAAATGACTATTGCTATTCTTTAGTAGGATCGGGGTATATTTTATGCACACTGCTAACCTTATATCTTTAGTAAGCCCACTTCATTAAAAAGCCTCCAAAGCATAAGTAGTCTTAATATGTTTAAATAGCAAGACATTAGAACGTTTTTATGCTCTAGAAGCAGGAATGGCTGCACTCCCTTTGGTATGTTTTTCATGAACCGCGGAGCATATTAAAGAGTGAGGGGGCTGAACCTTTTTTGGGGTGGGGCGCTAAGCATGCTCATAATCAAGAACAAGTCGATTTTGTATGATTTTAAGAACAGCCCCCTTCCGCGGTACCAGTATGTTTATCATTTCAGCATAGTTAGCTAGCACAGTATGATTTTAAGAACAGCCCCCTTCCGCGGTACCAGTATGTTTATCATTTCAGCATAGTTAGCTAGCACAGCAATTACTATTCTATAGTAGGATGGGGGTATCTTTGATGCACACAGCAAACCTTATATCTTTAGTAAGCCCACATCATTAACTTACTTACTTACTTACTTACTTACTTACTTACTTACTTACTTACTTACTTACTTACTTACTTACTTACTTACTTAAACTTACTGTTATTGACACTTACTTAGCTTACTTACTACTTACTTACTTACTTACTTACTTACTTACTTACTTACTTATACGTTACTTACTTACTTACTTACTACTTACTTACTACTTACTACTTATTACTTACTTACTTACTTACTTACTTACTTACTTACTTACTTACTTACTTACTTACTTACATACTTACTTACTTACTTACTTACTTACTTACTTACTTATTACTTACTTACTACTTACTCTTACTTATCTTATTACTTACTTACTTACTTACTTACTTACTTACTTACATACTTTACTCTTATTAGATAAAATTTGGCAAAATAAGTATCATTTACATAAAAGCAGCTATTGATGAATTACTTGGGCCAAAGATCAGCCAGTTATCTGAAAAAATCAGAATCCTTCTAAATTCTGTCCAATAACGGAAAGGATTATGTGCAAAGTTTGGTAACAAACCTTTTCAGGTTTCTTCACCCCAAATCACTGGCAAAGTATGATTGTCTGATCAGATTTCATCACAAAAGCTGTAATTGCAGCAATCCAGATGATTTTACGAAAAATTTGGAACCGAATTTGCGATTATTCAAAGGGTCAAGCAAAGAATATATTTGCAAAGAGTCATTTTCAAACCTATATTGATTAAAACGTACTTAAGGTCAAAGATATCTCAAGAAAGACTCGATAACTTGGCAAACTGTCCATAGAAATTCAGAAGCCAAATCAATTGATAAGACTGAACTCATTGAGCAATTCGCACATGTCAATCTCGAAGGCATCAAAAGAATTGGCATATAGAACTTGAAAGTCTTTTTCCTGATAACATTTCAAATAAAAATCATATTCATGACGTTTTTTAAGCCATTTGTGAACACAATTTTCACATAATTTACGGAAATGCATTGATAATGTTTCTCATCTGGGTCTTTAAAATATTCTTCATTATTCATAAGGACCACATAAGATAGAAAGTTTAAAGCTATGTTGTCTGTTGAATTGTTGCAGAAAAGTAGTCTAGTCATTCAAATTTTGACAGAGTATCTATAATTTTGAAGTCTAATGCCCATCCACTTTGCGAGTTAAACCGGCTTAAATCAATGCATATTATTGAGTTAGGCCATTACTTGGTATATCCAACAAATTGGACGCGTTTGATTGGTTGAAATAAAACTCAGTATAAATGTAGCTGGTTTAACTACGCCAGTGTGAAGGCAGCATAAGCAAACATTTATTATTCACACCTGCACAGATTTCTTTAATGTTTTGATATGAAGTTCAATTCAAAGTATTACGGAAGAAGAGGAGCTGTTATTTCATTAATGTGCCACCAATTAGAGAGCATAAAAGTTTTATTTGCGCATGGTAATCTCTCTTCGTATTGTTCTATGTTATCTGTATGGGGTTTTTCTCGGAAAACCCGAAAGAGTGATGATTAAGCTCTAAAATTTGACTCAACCTTAGTTAAATATGGGGCCCAAAACACACTTTTCAGTGAAGGGCCCCGCACTGCTCCTTACCACTGGTTTTAGTGAGCACAATGTCAAAAAAGCTCTCAATGTATTCTTGGTACGAAACTAGTTCAACTAGTGTGGTGAAATACGATTTTACCGCGACAAAAAATAATAAAAAAGCTGGTAATTTGGACACATAGGCTTCCGTACAGATCACTGGGATAACCGAAAAAGCCCCATCAATTGGACATTGGGAATTCCTTATTTGGGCAATCCATATGGCGCACTGATCATTAGGGGTACCAATTTTGATGTCGCATAAACCATGAATATGTAACCTTTTCTGAAAGACATGTTCATGTGAACGACTTTTATTCAATATACACGCCCTTACAATGTGAAATAAGTCTTTCTGGTAAAAATACAGAGATAGGAGTAACAAAGCAATTGCATCTTCAATGAATGAGTACTTCTGCAGCATTGGGAATAAACTTAGCGATAAAATTCCAAATAAATTCAATCCACTCTTGTCTGGTGATACCCGTTTGAAACTCCTCCATTAAGTTCTCTTTTCTGCCATCATGACAGATTATAATTTCATAACCTGAATAAGATGAAGACATCGCATGGTTCAGGTCACGATGGCATTGTGAGCTTTAGTTGAAGATTGCTTTGCCAGTGGTTGGCGGGTCCTTGTGTGATCTCTTCAATAAAATCATTGTTTGCAGAAATTTCGGAGAGACGGATAATAGCGCGTTATTCACCCATCTCAAGAGTTGCGCAAGGATGACAGTCGACTATAGACAATATCATTCTTCCTTTCTATTCTAGGCTATTTGAGGAAATTAATTTTCGAATCAGTGTTTAAGTGGATCCTGTCGAAGTAAAATCAGCTATGATGAGCGATCAGGTCGGGTTTTCGACTCTTACACTCGGTAGCCCAGCCGCTTCTGGCTAGCACCAATGATTGTGGTACGCTTGAATATA